AAGCAACTTTTGATATCTATTTGGACAATATATATATTTCTAATCTTAAAATGAAAATTACTTTGCATGTTGGATAGGCAACATGCAAAAAAGAAAAAAAAGGCATGAGAAAAACATTGCTTAACAAAATAATAAAAAATTTTATATTTTGCATATGAAAGCCTTGTAATGTTTATTGATAATTTGCTAAATTTTGTTAACATACGCTTACTAATTTTAAAAATTATAGCATGAAAACTATAACAAGCACAAAGTTGATTATGAGGTTGGTCCCATGGACCGAGCCCATGCTGAAAGAAGTAACTTTAAAGTAAGGGAGAGTTTTCTTAAGGAAATGTAGCTTATTAGTTTTACCCTTCATACAAATAAAAGATTTATTTGACCAAATCTGTTGTTTATTTTGTTATGCTTGGCTATTTTGATCTGTTGTTTATAAGATTTAACATATGGATTTTTTTGAAAAAGTACAAAATTAAACATAAATTACTCTGTATGGAATCGACACTGCTCAAACAAACCACAATTTTTATAGCCTTCAATTTTGTTTAGTTACATAGCTATAAGTAGAAAATCACATCTTTTCTGCCAAACCTACTTGTCACGTCATCTCTTTCAGGCTTTGTTAATAGTTCTCTTTTATGTTTAATTATATATTACCTGTAATCAATAAAAAGTGAAGGTTTTCATGTATCAAATTACGTGTTGTATAATATTGTGTTATGAACAGATAAGCATCAATTTCACTCAGAGTACAAGCTTATTTTCCATAGGAAAGTTGACGACTAGCTTGGATGAACTTGTAACGGCTTTTGTTGTATAATTAAAAAGCCAGAAAAATTTTGAGAGTTAGGGGAAATTTTCTGCTTTTTTGCGTGTTATTAGTCTATGTTCTTTAAATTACTGAATGCACTACTACCATTAGTATAAAATATGTAGGCTTAAGTATAATCAACAACAAGTGGGTAAGTAATTTATTTCTTGTTTTACTATTATAAAAGAAACTAAAATGTAAAAATAGGGATCTTTTTAGTTTAGCTAAGATTAGATTAGGTAAAATGAGTAATAATATAATAATGTTTCACGAGGCATACATGTAAGCAGCATATAGATAATGTTATTTGATGGCGTAACGTGAGTTGCATGTGCCGCAGGTGATTTACAATTTATTATAGAGTGGATACTAGTTAGACACAGTTCAAAGGGCAATAAAACAATAAAATTTTATTATAAATACATCGTCAAGAAATTAATGTCCCTTTTTTTTAGATGAAAAAACCCAAACAACTTATCTATTAAAACAAAACATTTGTTAATTGAAATAGTCTCCATTTTTATCAGTGATGCTTTTCCATCTTACAGTGAGGTTGTTAATGCCCTGATTAAAG